TTCCAAAGGCCAACCCTCTGCCTTTCTCTGCTTCCTCCCCATGCCCTTGATTCACAATCACCACCCCTCCCACCCCAACACCACCACTTTCAGGAAAGTCCTGCAGCTCATCTTTGACTCAGGGTCAAACAGCAAGAACAATATGCAACAAAATGAAGTTATTCAGAAAAGTGCCCTGGCACATAATCAGCCTTTTCTAGGTGCTTTTTAAATTAAAAGTTAGAAGATGTAATGACCACAGATGTCCTCTAGGCTTTGGGAGTCAAGTGGTATCTGAATGCACATTTACCTTAGAGATAGAAACCTGGGGAAAGAGTTGAAAATGGGGGGTGGAGGGGAGCTGTATCAGCAGGCAGCCTCCAGATCTGGGGGCACTAACTCAATCCCTGGGAAGGAGACAGAAATCTGAGGCTGTTCTGTGCCTTAATGCCCTATAGCTCTTGGCACAGACTGCTGGAAAGGTGGGACAATTGTCTTTCTTTCCATCTTTATTTCTTTCTAGAACTTTCTTTCAGGAACTTTCTTCCTGAATTTTTCAAATTCTATTTTAACATGAAATCTCTAGATGCTTTCTATTATTAAAGCTCAACATGGTCCCAAGGTGAGAACATCTGAGACAAACAGAAGAGGAGAATTTAGACCAGAGCAGAATGGACATCTGGGGCAGTTCTTAGCCACAGATGCCCAGGGTGGGAGGTAAGTTTTTTATTTAGCACTCTAAATGCCCATCTTTTTTAAAGTAATAACTCTCCACTGGTGAGGGTCACTCCCACCATGGGATAAAAGCACTGGCCATGTAGACCCTTGAGTCACCAGTGGGCAACTTGGGCATCTGTCCCACATCCCCCATCAAAAAAAAGCTGAGGGCTATGCTAAGAAATTGCTCAGGATGCAGTGGAAGCTGAGAGAGGATTAGAGATAAATTATAGTACTGATGGTGGTCTTCCCAGAGGGGGTGATATTCAAGATGCGCCTGGACAAATAGAAGTTCTCCGATCACACAAAATGCAGAGGGATTGTTAGGTAAAGGCAATAGCACATCCAATGACACCCAGACATAAGCAGACAGGGAATGCTCACGAAAAGTTTAGGTGCCTTGATTTTGCTGGATCTTCAAGTGCCAGAGAATAATTAGCGCCAGAGGAAGTTGACCCAGGGACCTCATCATGGCTGACCCAGAATTCCAGACCAAAGAATCAGAGTCTTACTCTGAAGATGATGGGGCACCCACAGGAGCTCCTGAGCAGGGGACTGGTCAGGCCAGACAAGGTTTCCAGAACTGGCCTGAGAGATGAGGGGAAGGCCTCATCTGCCCACAGGTATGTCTTTCCAGTTTGGGTTGCTCAACTAGGAGGCAGAAACCTGGGTTTTGCACATCCCAGTGAAAGCCAGGAGACAGACACAGGTTTGGAAAAGACAGAAAGCTCACAGTCGGGAACCAGGACTTGGAGCGCTTTCCTCCTCAACAGCTGTGGTATTCACACTTTTGGATTTGGGTTATTTAAATGGAATGTACTTCTCACTGCCTCTCTGTTTTTATAGCAACATCTGAGGTGGCCACAACAGCAACAGTACCCAAATGATCCAGGGACTTGCTCAGCAAATGGCAGAGGCTCAGCCCAAGCCACAGCTGGAGAGAACCCATTTTCCAATGGAACTTTCAGCCATAAAAAGGCCCAGATGTCCTAGAATGTTTTTCTTGGTGCCAAAAAGAGGCCAGGTCTTAACAAAGAGCTGCCAAGAAGACGAGTGTCTTGGAGTGGGTTCCCTGGATGTGTGCACAGAGGAGGCTCATTGGCGAGAATTCCTGGAACAGGAGCCTATAGAGGAAGAGCGGAAGGCAAGACCGGGCAGAGGGAGGAGCGGACTCAAAATGCAACAGCAACTGAGGCCTCAGCTACTCCTATCAGAGCTTTGCAGCTGGGAAGGCTCAGGCTGGGGCATGAGGCCACGATATTGACTGCTCCGGTGGCCACAGGCCTGTAACCAGGAGGAGCCTGAGGCTGATGGAGGAAGATCACTCTGCCCCAGTTGAATAACATGGCTGTGAACTAAAATACCTGCAACTGAGGGTTGGGGTGGGTGAGGCATGAGGCAGGGACCCAGCCAAGCATCCCAAGATCTAAGTCAACCCCTGGCCCATAAGTCCCCGAAGACTCTGGGGAGGAATTTATACTTCCTTGACCTAAGTGAGCAGGGAGACCCTGCAGGGATGAAAGTGTGCCCAAGGTCAGCAGACAAAAGGGAGAGAGGCAAGAAAAGGGTCCAGTAGATGGCAGTTGCCATCACAGTGCTCTGCCACCTCAGATTCACCCAAGGCCCCATGCGCCCTAGGGCATTCAGGACCTCAACCTCTCAATGGGCTGCCAGCTTGCATCCACTGCCAGCAACCAGGATACCTCAGCTGCAAGAAGCTGTCCCCAGGGCCATGCCTTCAGTGCCATCGTACAGGGCACTGAAAAGAGGGACTGTCCCACTCTCCAGAGAGGGAGGGGGCCAGCCCAAACCATGGGCCAGAATGGGAGGACAGGCTTGATGGTCAGCTGCCTCTGATGAAGAACCCGGTGCAGAAGACCTTCTCTGAAGAAGCCCAGAGGTGAGACAAGCTCCCCTGTTTACTGTTTATATAAATAAGCCTCGGGTGACCCTAGAAGTGGCAGACAAAAAGATCATCTTTTTGGTAAATAAGGGGCCACTTACTCTACCTTACTCCAATTCTTTGGATTGACCTACTGGTCGATTGTCCCCCTCACTAGTACAGATGGCCAGCCTGAGCCAAGACACTTTACAGCACTGCTACCTTGCTCGCTGCGAGGCTGCTTGTTTGTACATTTTCAGTGGTTAAATAAAATACAGAATAGCTTTGTATTTTTTGTCATTGACAAAATTGCACCAAAAATGTTTATAAAAGTATATTTTTAAGACTGTTTTATAAAACATAAAAATATAATTGTGAAAAAATTTTGTTTGCATAATCATGGTTGGCCAGGTCTCGACGTGCATTGATGTTGAGCATCAATTCACAGGAACTGTTCATTGTAAATTTTGGTTGGTACCGGTGAGTCTGTGATTTTGCAACTTGTCTGTTCACGTTTGAAAAATTATGATGTAAAATTTCCATTTTTCTGTAAAAATAGGTGAAATAATAATCAAAGTTTTGATGTCCTTAGACTTCATCTTAAAGGATTACCTTATTATGTTAAAACTTAACATTTTATGTACTAATATTTAAAGGGCCACATTTTTGATAACTACAGTAAATTAAGTATGTATACAACCCTAGAGCCCTAGACCTGTTAATGGCTAAAGTTAAAAAAAATTGTGACCTCCTTACTCTTGAACCTCATCACTCTTGAACTAAAATCTTTTGTTTTTGTTTTTCTCTTGCTTGGGCCTTACATTCTCAATGCCTTCGTCGAGGTCACTTCTCTCCTGGAGACCATCGAACTATGAAGTTGCCACTGTCCTTTTGAGGTCCCTAAGATCGTCGCCTTGAGGTGGAGCCCTGACTGTTTCCCCTCATCGCCCACTTTCAGCAGGAAGCGGTTACTGATCAGAACGACGCCCCTTTTCCTAACTGCAGTTAGGGGCTCCATTCGCAGAACGGGAGGAATGAGACATAGGGCAAGTTAGGGTAATTAGGCCGTTTTAGGGACAGTGCAGGAGGGGACCTCTGAAGAGTTTAGGAAGGCTTCAGAGATAAAAACAACTGAAGGAATGTGTTAATGTTGGCCTTTGTTTCCTTCAAGTAATAATGGAGAGTATTTCAATTAGGGCAGCAGACTCATTTATGCTAGGAGGAAATGAGAAGGGGTTAATATTAAGACTGGTGGGCGGCAATCTGTTTTATTCAATAACTGATGTTTAGTAACCAGATGAATAACTCTGTGACCGGCTAACTGAAGAGAAATCCCTTGTTTGAGCAGAGTAATTCTCATTTGTAACTGAAGATAGTACCTCTTGCTGACTAGATAGATGGTTTAGCGTCTGATTTTCAGAGATCGTGGTCTGAGATGACCCAGAAAAAGTCAATGTTTTGTATAAGGATGGCAATTTTTCAACTTTGCTGGACCTATAAACCTGTGAATGAACAATAAATAGCACATTATGTGTGGCTGAACTTAACCATAATTTTGAGACTGACTAACTGATAAAAGGCTTGGTAGCTGTGTTATAGAATAAATTTGTGCTTGGCCCGATACTACAGAACTCTGGTTATGTAAAGGTTTGGAATGGCTTAGTGTTTGTACAGGAGGAATAATATTTTAAGGACTGGGAATCTTAGTTGATGTTAGAGCAGCTTTTTTACTTCTGTAGTAAAAATGATAAGGGGAAAAGACAACCCGTTTTATATTGGGGCTGCCCTATAACAGAAAGATACCCTGATGATGACATTGCAGATGAGTAAGACTGAGTAAGTTCCACTGAGACCTGGGAGGTCTTCTGTTGCAACCCTCCATTGCTCACCTGAGTAAAATTTCCAATTGCATTACAGGATAAAAACGACTGCCTAGTTGTTTCCTGAAAATTAACTATACTCGTATTTGACAGACAATTATGTAAGGAGTGCTGTGAACCAGTCAGCTGTGCCTGAATAGACTGGGTACCTGAAGGCCGCTGATGGTGTTTTAAGGCAGCAGTATCTGGCCTTAGATCAATAAGAATCTCCTTAAAAGAAACATAATTGCAAACCATTCAGCTCATGGTCCTCCACTCCAGATATGCTCCCCACCCTATTAATGATTCAAATAGCTTTGCTTTGTAACAGTTCTTGCAAAAAAAAAAAAAAAAGTGGGAATGTGGAACCAAGCATAAGTATTCATAGCCATTGCTTTGTGTAACTGCCATTTTACAATTTAAGGTTTTGCTGGGTAAAGACTTCGTTCCAGAGATAGTTTGGACCCTCACTCCACCCTTACTCTCTGGTCACCAATGAGGGCGAACTTGCTGTAATTGGAGCTGCATCTTGGCCTGGCCAGTCAGCTTAGAATGATAGCCGGGCAAAGTTGGAGAAGGCATCCTTGTAGCCAATGAGTAACTGCCAGCATAATTTAACCTTATTAAAAGACCCCTGCTTCCTTTGTTCGGGGCTCTCGGTATCTGCCACTGCGTTGGTAGGTGCTGTGAACCCGGACTCGAGTCTGAAATAAACTCCCTTTTGTGTTTGCATCAGCTGTCTTTGGGTTCTTGGAGGCTATGCTCGCCGAGTCTGCTGACCTTGGGCACAACAGAAAGCAAGCAAACCACGTGACTGGGTTTGTGTTTTAGGCCGATCCCTCTGGTCGCAGAGTGAAAAATAGGTAAGAAAAGATAAATGTGACTTTTACAGAGGAGTTGCTCCCACAAAGAACGTGATTGTATTTTGCTCCTTGTTGTGCCAACACCCATCCCACTGTAACAGGGTGGTCCCCAGGAAAGGGGGAGGTTCCAGGTTCTCTGCCCCACCCAAGGGCGGGAGGATCTGAGCAGGGAGAGAAGAAGCTGCAGAGGAGACTGAGGAAGGAAGGAAGCAGGATGGAGCCAGAAGGAGACCTGGAGGAGGCACATGGAGCCTAGAGACATGTGAAGAAACTGTGCTTGTCTTTTGGTCGTGGACGGGGTGACACAGATGTGGGTGAGACCCGTGGGGAGGTGAAAATGGCAGCTTTTATCTTGATATTGATTTTGCTCTTTTCCTTCTGGGCTTGTCTGGTTGTTTCTGACCCTTTTCTGTGGGTCCCCACTGGAAGATGCTTTAGACTTGTGGCAGGCTTTGGGGCCTTGCTCTGGGCCAATCCCATTTGGATGGAGTTTTACCCATGAGGGGATGGGTAACTTGGGTGCTTGATTTAGAAACTAGATTCTTTTCCTTTCCTGTATTGTTTCCAAATTGTATTAAAGTTCCTTCCCATTAAAGTCTCATATGTTTTGTGTTGATGTGGCGGATGGCAGAACCCATTTAGAATAGACAGGTTTGCGGGGTTTGGGCTGCCCCTTTCTCTGCCCTGTAACACCACCACCTGGGACATGGGCAACACTCAACAAATATTTGAAGCAATCAATACCTCTGATTCCTAGTCCAAAGTCATACCTGAGCATGGTCTAGTGAATACTGGAGCCTTTTTCTTATGTTTTCTGAGCACAAATTAATTCCCAGTTCCCATCCTCTTACATAAACAAAGAGGAGAGTGAAGAAAAATATCATTTCTTGGAAAGAAAAGCTTCTCTGTGGCTGTTTTCCCTCAACAGATTCCTAAATGAGAAAATTTGTTCAGAAAAGAGATTAAAGTCGTAAAACCCAGCATCCATGTTCCCTAAACAATTAGTTTCTTTTCTATGTAAGAAAAGGGGAGAGATGATGTAGGCAGCTGGAACCCCCAGCAGCTGAGGCGCTTGGGGAGACATGGGGGAGGAGAGGCTCCACCCAGCAAGGTGGTGATACCGGAATTGTCAGGCCTAGTCTCCCAGCCAGGAACGGATTTCAGGCTGCAGGGCAGCGCTGAGCCCCAGCCGCTAGACCCCCCATGGGTTGGTGTCTCACGAAGCCGCAGCAGGAACTTCGCAGACGCTCAGGCAAGCAAGCGAGAAGAGGCAGTTTGTTTAGAAAAAGAAAAAGTTTATTGAGGAGGAAAAGAACAGAAATAAAGTGGGACTCCCAGGCCAGGGAACCAGGCCTGGGAGGGGCAAGGAAGCCAAAGTAGAGTCGTGTCTTAGGGAATATATACCTTTTTTCCCTCATTATTCTAAAGCTGCCCCAGTCTCTTTGTGATTGGTCAGTTTTCGGCTGTCTCACTCAATTTGCTACTGAGTGGGGATCTTTACATTCCTTATCTAACAGTTTTTTCTTTTCCCATTAGTTGCATCTTTAAATTTATGGCCCAGTCTTCTGGATGGGCATCCCTGCATTGAAGTTAAACAGCTGCCCTTTTAATGTGACCATAAATTAAACCACTTTCCATTTTTCCAATCTCCGCCTCCCTTTACCACCTGAAGGAAACCAGGACCAGCATTAACAATGTTGTCCTTGGTCCTGGCATGTTTGTTTTTCCTAGTGGAATGGGTTATATTTCTTTGGTTGTCCTTATCTCTGAAGCCTCCCTAAATTCTTCAGAGGTCCCCTCCTGCACTGTCCCTAAAAACTGCCTAATAACCCTAGCTTGCCCTGTCTCAGTGGGAACAGATGCCCCCTGGAGGTAGGGCAGGGGATGGGTTGGGGCCAGGCCTGGAGCTGATGCCTTCCAGGCTTGGGCCGGCCCAACCTCTCTGGGCTTACTCTGCTCCCCAAGGGCACTTTAGCACAGCAAGCAGCACTCAAGGTGTCCTGGAAGATGTCATGAGGTTCCACAGACACACCGGATTGGACAGGGGGTTGGTATAGGGACAGGAACCCTGGCGCTATCCCACCTGATTCACCAGCCCCTATTTTCCCCACAGGAAGGGGTAATGGCATTGCCCCTGAGCTCCCAGCTAGGCTGGGCTCTGTGGTGTAGACGTGGGGCCAGCAGACCCCAGGGTGTCTACAGCGAGCTATAGCTGCCTCTCCCAGAGCTGACAGTTCCTGTGAGGTGCATGGGGACCCCACAGGCAGGTGGACACCATCTACATCCCATCCCCAATGAGGTGGTTGACAAAATTGTGTCTAGTGAAAGAAGTTTGTCTTTCATTCCCCTTCTACAGCCAGGAGCTGCCCACCCACTCCCTCCACGCCAAGGTTCGCTTTAACAACAAAAAGAACATCTTTGACCGCAGCTCAAGGGGAAGGAGGAGCAGACCCTCTTGAACCTAAGGTTTGTGGCACTGGCTAGCAAGATGCTATCCTGCTTTGTTGGTTTTGATGTTGCGCCCACCCTGAGGAGTCTCCCCTCCCCACCCCACCTCCACCATCAGAATCAAGCTCCCCCAGGCCATTCCGCAGAGGAACCACAGAACCATTACTCAGGGTTCAACACAGAGGCCTTGGGAAGAGTGAGGGGGAGGGGATAACGCAATGGAGGGTCTGCCAGGTTCAAGAGAGGAGGCCTCAGGCCACACGCCGAAAGGACCGGAGAAGGCAGCCAGGAGTGGATGGGGAGCAGCAGGCCGTCCTGAGACACAAGTGACAGACAAATTATAACGGGCTTCCTTGTTCCCCAAATCGTTCCAGGTTCCCTGCCCCACCCTAAGGAAAGGTGAAGCTGAGCAGAGAGAAGTGAGGGAGGACGGGGAGGAAACAGATGGAAGGAGAAGAGAAAAGCTGGAGGAGACACATGGTGCAGAGAGACAAGTGAAGCTGTGCTTGCTTCTCAGCCTGGGACTTGTGCCAGGGACTTGGGAGACATGGAAGACACTTGAAAGAGACAGAGACGTGGGTGAGAGACCCATGCGGAAGCTGACAATGGCAGCCTTTATCTTGACTTGTGTTTTGATTTTGCGCTTTTCCTTCCAGATGTGCCTGGCCCCTGCCACCCCCTTCCTAGGGGTCCCCACCCAAAGGTGCCTTAGACATGTGACAAGCTTTCAGGCTCAGCTTCCCTGCTCTGGGCCAAGCCTGTTTGTCCGGCATTTACCCATGAGGGAATGGGTGATTTTGGGTGCTTGATTGGAAACTAGTCTATCTATTCTTTCTCATCTCTTTTTTTAATATTTTATTTTATATATGTTTACATCATTTTTAATTTTTGCACAACATACGTATTTTCATCTTGGTTATATTCCCCATACAATTCCCACCCCCCTTATTTTGACCCTAATCCTTCCCTCCCACCACCTAGTGTGTCTCTGGTTTATAGTTGCTTATTGATTTTGATTTTTACTTTAATTAGTCTTTTTTCTGGCATACATATACACAATGGAATATTACTCAGCAATCAAAAAAGATAAATTCATGCAATTTGCAGCAACATGGATGGAGCTGGAAGGGATCATGCTCAGCGAAATAAGCCAGAAAGAAAAAGTAAAATACTGGATGGTCTCACCCATAGCAGGAATATAGAAAATCTTTCCCTTCTCTTTATTGCACACTTATTATATTAAGGTTCCTTGCCAATAAATCAGTTCATCCAGCATGGACTCGAGAGTCTCCCCAGCAAGGTGGGGGCCTTGTCATCCAGCCTCCCCAAGGAGCGAAAAAGGGCTGAAGAGGCTATGTGGACAGAACTCCTTGCCAGTCCACGGAAATGGCACTTTGCCACCATCACTGGGCGGGTGCGTCACAGGAAAAACTGAGACAACCTGCCCAAGTTCCCATGGAAGGCAAGCAGGCAGCCGAGCAGGGTTGCAGACTCAGACTCTCTGCTCCAAGTTCAAGGCTGTTCTTTTCCCTTCTATTTCTCACTGAACTTGGTTTCAGAACAATGCAGGCCTAGCAGCCAGAGCCCAGCTCTGCAGAGCCCAGCAGACAAGAACGTCTTGGACACAGCTCTGCACACATAGCATCTATGTGGCCCTCCCCCACCCCCACCCCCAGGCAAAGATGATGAAGCTCAGCAGAGGTGGCTCTTCCGGCCTTGCTCCCTGAGCTGGCTGGGCCTGCGCCACAAGCAAGGCTTTGGTAGGAGATTTGGGAGAGCATCCTGCACTGGGTATTTCAGAAGTGCCACATATCTAATAAGGTCAGTAGATCCCAGGCCTCTGAGTTCTTGTACCAAAAGGAAAAAAAAAAAAAAAAGAATTAAGGAGGAACAAAGAGTGTTGTCGATGCTTTTCTGTGTCACTTTCAACTTCTTAAATAGCCTCTAGTGCTGCCCTCTAGCGGTCAACGCTAGTAGTAGCCTTTAATTCCAGGCCAGTGTTTGAATTTAAATTAAAAAAAAAAAAAAAACAAACAAACAAAAACAAAACAAAAAAAACGGCAGTCCAGCTCCTCAGTCCTCAGTGGCACTAGCGACATTCTATGAGGTGTGGAGGCAGGCCAGGGTAGGACAGCTCAGACATAGGACACTTACATTACAACAGAACGTTCTATGGGCAGGGCTGTTCATTCCCTTTCCAGAGATATGGGACCAAATTGACACTGGTGGGTGACAGGTCCCAGGTGATCCAGTCATACCTTCCCATCCAGCCTCCCCTGGGGCCTCTCTCGGCCTCTATCTGATGTAGTTCTTGTTATCCTCATCTGCCAGATGAGAACCTGAGGCGCAGAGAGGGCCAGTCATTTCCCCCAAATCAACAACTGTTGAAAGCCAAGCTTGAACAATAAGCCGCCTGACCCGCAAGTTGACAACAGATTCTTCATCACTCGTGACATTAAGGAAAAGCCCTTCATCGACCCGTGCCCAGCACCCTTTCCCCCTTCCTGGCTCCTGCTTCAACAGCCTCTCTCTTGGCAGGAGCTGTGTACCCTTCTGTTCATGACCTGCTAAAGCCCAAGGCAGAATATTCAGGGTGCGGCCTGTACATTTCTCTTCCATCCACAGGGGGGGTATTTCCCCAGGATGCTGGCATTTATCCGCCAATAGCCCAGGAGAGGGGGCAGGAGGGAGCCTTTTATAACAAGAAAACACAGCTTGGGAGAAATTTCTTGATGGCAACACATGTTCATATGCAGGAGCATCCACACTGACTGACACAAACATGTTCACACACACAGCACACACATGCTGGCTGGGACTCACCCTCACAGCAGAGCTCGCTCAATACGAATGGCAGAGCCCACAGCTGAAGCACTTGTGAGAGATTTAATGCAGTGACCTCCCAGTTCTTTCTCTGCTAGATCTCCAAGCTCAAAGACAAGCACCCAGGAAGGCTGTTGAAATGTGCACAAACAGCCCCGCTGATGGGCTGAAAGTCAGGGAACGCAGGGTGCAGGGAGGGAGAAGGGGAAGAACTCCAGGGTGTGGGGGGCAGCCGAAGCTGAGTGGAGGATGGAGGAGAGCAGTGAGGGGCCAGGGAACCAGCATACTGGTCTCTCCAGCACCCCAGCCAGATGAAGCAGGTGCCAGGACACCTCTGAACCTCCCAGGGTGAGACCCCTCGGTGCACAGCCTAGTAAAATCTTCCTAAATAAGAGCCTGGCACCATGCCAGGGATAAGGGAGTGGGGCTGAGGGGACGGGTGTGAAACAGGAAGTTTCTGAAGCTCCGGACCATCTGCACAAACACCCAGGCTGAGGAAATGCTCCGACTTTCCATAATAGCCCAACAGGAAAAAGCCGAATATCCAGGCACAAAACAACAGACGCGGTGTAGCCCAAGTCACCTACAAGGGCGCCCCTCTAGTGCAGCCCTCTAGCGGACAATCCGATGTAGCAGCCTTTAATTCCAGGCTACTACTAAATAGCTGTGGTGTCCCAGAGGGGAATGTACTGTATATAAATTTATATAAAATTTTGTAACTAGCGAGACTAATGGGAAGTCAGAATAGCAGCAATCCCTGGTGGGGAGGGAGCTGGACATGAGCTCGAAAGGGATATGAAGGGAATTTCTGGATCGCTGTACGTCTGTACGTGGTCTTTATTTTTTTTTATGTTTTGGATGTTTTGTTTTGTAAAAAAAGAAAGAATATGCTAGCTGCAGGGGGCATTGTTGGGCCCCAGCAGAGATCTCTGGAGGGCAGCTGGGACTGCACCTGCTGGGCTGGCCCCAGGCCCTTCCTGACCACCTGGTCCAGCCACACCCTCTTCCCAGGGGCAAGAGAACCTGAGCCCAAGCAGGCCTCACAAAGGGGATCTTATAGGAACCATGCCCAGATGGGATGAACCCCACCCCAGACTGGGTCTCCCAATCTCTCTCACATACAACCCCCCCACTCCAGGTCCCTGCTGGGGTGAACTAGGTACCCACAGTCCTAGGACCTATATGGGGACACATGGCCTGCAGAAAGGAGCAATGGGCTTCAGTGTGTCTGGGTAGGGAGAAGAAACCAAGCCCCCCATGCCACCCCCTCCTTGCGGCAGAACACTGCAGCGGTGCCCGAGCCCTGGTTCAGCTACACCAGCCCCAGGACATTGCACGCCACCTCCCCTGGCCTCAATCTCATTGCTCCCAAGTTCTCATGCTGACCTCTTGCACCTTGGTGTTACCCATCTCTAAAACGGGCCTGTTAGCACCTTGAAAGATGGCTATGAGGACAAAATATGACCACACATCTGCTCACAACCTACCCAGAGCCACGTGTCCATCCTTTTTGTTTTGTCCCCATCCCTCGTTGTCACAAGTTGAGCATGTAACCAGTATGGCAGGATCCCCTGGGCCCTATTAACCAGACAGCAGCCTTCCAGGCCCTCCCCGGACATTGGGGTTCAGTCTTAGCCTCCCTCTTTCACATTTTAGGACCCTTGCAATCATACATATTTATCAGGAGCATCTACAGTAAGCTCAGCTGATTAGTAACCCTAAATTCATCTGCAACCTTAATTCTCCTGTGCCATGGGGCATATCTTGACAGTTTCTAGAAATTATGATGTGGACATCATCAGGTGGCCACTCTACTGCCTACCACAGACCCTGAAAGAACCTCGGGCACTGGGCACTGTGAACAATGGGTAGGACAGACCTGGCATTAGTGTTCCCACTGCATAGCTGAGAAAAACTGAAGCTCAGAGACAGCAAGCAGTTCATAAAGGTCAGACAGCATGAAGCTGAGGTTTAGCCTTGCCTGCCTCCGAAGTCAGGGGTGGGGTGGGGAGCTTTGAGCACGGTCATGGGAAAGATATGGCTGGGATAGCAAAGCCATCAGCACCAAGAGGTGCAGCACCTGGAAGGGTGTGGTGGGGAGGCAAAGCAGGGCTGGGTGGGGGGGTGGGGGTGCTGACCCAGCCCTTCCCCGCGAGGCCCCCAGCCTGCTCACAGGCACTGACAATGCCAGGGGCTCCATGAATCATGGCCCAGCAGATACCTTCCAGCGCCAAAGTGCAAATTCTTAATAGAAGATTCTTTTATCTCTGAAAAACATGTCAGGAGAGAGAAGTCATGGGGAAACGTATGACGCTGCAAATTTGTTTCCTCCTCATCACCTACCACTAAGTAGATGCAAGTAACAGTTCTTTATCTGATGTTCATATTAACCGGCAATTAAGTGGCTAATGTGCTATGAAAAATGCAATTATTCGGTGAAGGCATCCTTCTCAGGACAGGGCTTCAGAACTGACTGGAGACCAGCTAAGCCCCTGCAATGTGGAGACAGTGAGCTAGCAAGGTCAGAGGGGCCAAGAAGTCTGAACCCAGAGACTGGAATTGGGAACCAAAGGGCAACCAGGAAGGTAACAACAGACCATTCTTCAGACCACAGTGGGGCCAGCAGCAGGACACAGTAGTGAGCAAGAGGGAGGTCTGGCACTTGGGGAGTGCCAAGAGCTTGTTAGTGTTTATAGAGGGCCTGTGCGCACTGGGCACGTGACAGACAGCTCCCTTAACCCTGGGCATGTGACAGCCACCTCTGACATGGATAGACTATGGTGGCGCTGCCCCTGCTTTTCCCAATATGCCTGCCAGAAGTAGCCCGACCTCCCAGGTGAGCCACCGAAGGTACAGAGAGGTGAAGGCATCAATCCATGATCACACAGCCAGGGCACAC